AAATTAAACCTGAGAGTGTCCACTTTCAGCCCATATCCATTATATGACTATACCTTGAATATGTTTTGGTAAATACCTGAAAAAACTAAAAAAAAATTGTGCCTGTGTCCAAATATATATGAACCTAACTATATATTTTAACAAAAAAATAAGCAAACAGAAGTTCATTGTTAGGCCTCATTCACAAGGCCAAATCTGTAAAGGCACAGCAAGTTAACTGTAGCTTGGAGCCCAAGTGTGTGTTGACAGCTGTGCCTGGGAAGCATGAACAAAGCAATGACAGGCTGACAAGCAGCTGCAGCTCCCTGTGTGATTTTGTCCAAATATTGGTAGATAGACAAGGCCACAGTCGGCCTGTCATCGTTTTATACAGACTTTCCAGTCGCAGTTTCTTGCAGACATCTGGACTCCTAGCCACAGTTTTTCACAAGATACCAAGATATACTCGCCGCACCATAGCCAATTTTGTCAGCTGAATGGAGCTTTAGGGTGCACATACTCTAACCCCAGGTGAGCCAACATTTCTATTAGCTAACCCAAGAACGAACCTGCCCACCTGCAGCTTGGGAAATGCTTGCACACAGCCCAGAACTGAATATGAGCAGCAGCTGGACTGGCTGTCAATACTGTGCGCAGGTCTCAATGTGCAATGGCACTACTAAACTAACAATTGTATAGTTAAAAAAAGCCCAAAAGGTTATTTAGTTCATTTATGCAGTTATCCTTTAACCGCCTCCCGCCCAGGCGGTTCTCTTGTTCTGGGAGGACGTCATATGACGTCCTCCCATTCTAACTGCGTGTGTGCAGATCCAGGCGCGCAGCGTGACGATCGGTGGTGTGCTGTGTCCCTCGGACACAGCGGATCACCGATCAAGGGAAAGAGCCGAAGATGTTGGCTCGATCAAGGGAAAGAGCCGAAGATGTCGGCTCGGTCATGTGATCAGCTGTGTCAAATCACAGCTGATCACATGTAAATAGGGAAATGCCGGTTATCGGCATTTCTCTCCTCACGAGCTGTCACGCTGACAACTCGAGAGGAGAGCCGGTAATCGGCTTTACTTAGAGGGGACATGTAAACTGATCTTCAGCCTATCAGTGCCCATCACTGCAGCCTCATTAGCGCACATCAGTGAAGGAAAAAAAATCACTTATTCACAAAATGTTATAACAAAAACGAAGAAAAGGCGGAATTTTTTTTCAAAATTTTCAGTGGTTTTTGGTTTGTTTAGCAAAAAATAAAAAACCCAGAGGTGATTAAATACCACCAAAAGAAAGCTCTGTCTCAAAAAAATGATAAAAATTTCCTATGGGTACAGTGTTGCATGACCGCGCAATTGTCATTCAAAGTGTGACAGCGCTGAAAGCTAAAAATTGGCCTGGACAGGAAGGGGGTATAAGTGCCCTGTAGGCGAGTGGTTAATAGAAGTCTAAAGTTGCATTCAAATTGTCTTTTTATCCTCCAATAGATTGTGATGACTTATTTTCACAGAATGTGAAATTTAAAGGCAAGATAAAGCTGTAACAGTTAGAAAACTATATAATATTAATATGCAGATAGATCATCTTGAAATGTAAAGTCAAAGAACATAAAAAAAACAAACATGTGCACGTGTATTCCCCCTTACCTATATTAAACATCAAAATGAGAACATCTTATATAAAAGTGTCATGCATTTAGGGTATTTTGAGACAAAAAGACATACAAAGAAATGCTTCCTAAACACTATATGCTCCTCTTTTACCAATGCTTAAAAAGGTAAAAAAAAAAAAAAAAAAAACATGAAGACCGTGTCCCTTTAATGGATGTAATTAGACTGATGTATGTATAATTGCAGTGCTTTCACATGAAAAGACGCGGCCCTTGAAGATAATTGCACTCAGCGAGGACTCGTTTCCTACAGAGTAAAGAGCCTTAAACACAAGAGCTAGCTGCTACAGAGCCGTCTAATGACATGAATGAAACATACGTGAGGCACACTGTGAACCTTTTCCCTCCTGGCAGACGCGGGGTTAAAAGCAGCCAGAAAGATCAAATGAAGCTCAGAATAGCAACAAGGACATCACAACAGACCTTAAAGGAAACCTGCGCTGAGAGAAATACTGGGGTGCGCTGCCATTACGGACTTCCTCCTGAAAATGCTAATTGTCCAGTAGTCCCCTCGCTTCAACATTTTCAAAGGCACTGACCCATGTAGTTGATGGCCGAATGAAATCAGAAACCCCGTACTTGAATGTTTATTCTGGGCTATAAATTCAGTAAGTGCTAATGACATTAGAACAGTGTCATAACCAGGCAGGTAGCATTTTCAGTGGAGAATAGGCATGCATTTCTTTTCAGCACAGGTCTCCTTAAAGTGACCGTATCGTAACAGGGCCACATCCAAACTAACCCTAGCCTGTAAAAGAAGAGCGTCTATATGCCCCTTTCCAGCAGCCCTTGCCTTATCACTCTGCCACTTTGCGGCTCCTTGGCTGCTGCAGGTATTCAACACTTCTAGGTGTGTAAATACCAGCTCCTCCTGCCTCCCTCTGTATTTCCTTGTGCCAGCCTGTATGCAATACAAGAAGTATAAGCTGGCAGAAGAAGCCAAAGCTTGAAAACAAGGGTAGCCAATATTTGACACACCCGGAACCACTGAATAGAAGGAAAATCTGTAGAGCCACAAAGCAGTGGAATTTGAGCTTACAAATGCAAACCACAATATACATATATGCTTTGTGCAGGAATCTGCTAGGATTGTGAATGATACAAGTAGCGCTACCATTTTGTTTTTCAATTTGAAGTAGCTATAGACAAGCATTAACTACACTTTAAAACAAGCCCTCACTGATCTCTGTAACTACACGTACTACAGAGCAATTCATCCCCAAAGTTCAGAAAGCAGCAGTGAAGTTATTTTTAGGTCTGGGCACTCTGCTCTCTTCCTGTTCATCTGCTCAGTGTGTACATCCAAAATTAGAAGGCTGGCAGGTGTGAACAAAATTTGAAAGTGTTGTCTACGTTTCAGTTTGAGAATGAGTTACTTCACCAGTACCTGCAATTACAGAGGTCACTGAGGGTTTTTTTTTTTTTTTTTTTTTTTTTAATTAAAAAGCATATCTGTTCAGATTCACATGGGTTTTGTGTGGAACTTAAATGTTCTGCACAAAGCCCTGACCTTAATCCTATTGAATACCTTTGGAATGAACTGGAATGCTGATTGAACTATGTCTTCATCATCAGTACCTGACCCAAGAAATGCTTTTTTGACTGAAGAGACACAAATTCCCATAGATACAATGCTAAATTTTTATGGAAAGACATTTGGGATTGCTATAGCCGCAGAAGGGGAAAGTGAAGGGGAGGAGACAACTCACTTTAATGCCAATTGTTTTGGAATGGGATGTCCACCAGATTCAAGTGTTATGGGCAGGTTTATATAAATATTTGGTCATATAGTATATATAATCATCTTTAAACTGTGTATTTAAAAGGATAAGGTCACCTTATAACTAAAAATAACTTTTTTTGCAGGAAAAAAAAAAATGTGTATTTACTATTTTTTGTTTTAGGAGCCTGGAAAACATTGTACCAGCAATCAGCAGATCACTGGTGCCATGCACGACTCCTGCAGAACTGTCAGTGTATCTCCCTGCTCGTACCTTGTACAAGCAAGCAGATACACACAGACAGGAGGAATTCATGAACTACCACAGCGCTCAACAGCACAGTGGCTAAATGGTTAGCACTTCCGCCTGGCAGTACTAGGGTTGTTGGTTCGAATCCCAGCCACGGCACCTCCTGCCTGGAGTTTGCATGTTCTCCCTGTGCCTGCGTGGGTTTCCTCCGGGTACTCCGGTTTCCTCAAACACTCCAAAGACATGCTGGTAGGTTTATTGGATCCTGTCTAAAATTGGCCCTTGTATATGAATGTGAGTTAGGGACCTTAGATTGTATGCCCCTTGAGGGTTAGGGACTGATGTGAATGTACAATATATATATGTAAAGCGCTGTGTAAAATTGACGGCACTATACAAGTACCTGAAATAAACTACAAGACGACAGCTGCAAAGGGTTGTAGTTTTCCATTCACAGAATACTGTGAATAAGTGACCCAGCCGGGCAGGTGGAGCCCCACACAGCCATGTTCTTAAAAGAAATTCAGACAGCTAGCGGGGGGTAGAAGATCCCCCCCCCCCCCCCCCCCCCGGTAGCTGTCACAGTGGGGGATCAGGGTGGAGCGGGGGCCAGACCTTCCGTAACATGTTACACCCATATTCAGGGTGTAACATGCTATGAAAGGTGAACTTATCCTTTAACCATCCACCCAGTGTTTCACCTTGAGTTTGTTGTAGTGTGTATGCAATTGTATGCAATGATGTAAAGTTTGTTCACTGCAAAGGTTATGTCACAGGAAACCTGAATTGAGACAAATATGGGCGCTGCCCCTCTGGATTTCCTTTTGAATTGCCATCTTGCTCCACCGACCCAGAAGTACACCTTTCCAGGGATTATAACTTCGCTGGTCACATGCTTGTTTCAGTTTATTTATTCAAAACACTGTAGCCAGAGATTCAGCATACCAGCCAGGCAACTAATAATTTTAGAAGGAGGTAAGCAATGTCAGCTCCTTTATTGCGTTCACTGCAGTTAATCTTTTATATGCCTTCTCATTTTTCTGCTTTTTTCTGTCAGCTTTGGCTAAAGGACAGCTCAGTGCTGGACATGAGCAGCGGTGCCGTAAAGGCAAGTATAATTTTACACACAAGGGTCATCAGCGTGGAAAGACATCGAAGATGATATGACCTCTAAAATTACAGGAAACACAGCGGCATGAGAAATGTCAAGCCTTGGTAACGACATGGTCTCCCGGTGTCTTGGGAAAAAAAAAAAAAAAAAAGACGAGCTCTCAAATTTTGCTTGAAAAGTGCAACATGGCTTCCCCCACTGTGCAGGCAAAGGCTATATATACCACCTGCAGAAGAGATACTACGCTTTGCTGGCAAAAATATAGATGTACCTGTCTCTGGGCTTCTGCCAAATTGTAGGGCAATGCTCCTTCTTCCAGAGGAGCAATTCTTTCAATATCTGCCATGGTCATGCGTCTGAAAAGAACCAAACACAGTTATTTATGTTATATGTTCGTTATATCCATCTGTAGTAGAAATACTTTCTTACGTACAAAAAATAAACCGCCCAAAAAAACAAAAAGCACAACACATGATGGGCTTATTGCAGCTAAGTGATATAAAAAAAAAAAAGCAGCACATTTATTAAAAAAAAGCCCACGAGTTTTATGTGGTTTGTGTCAGGATTTTTTTTTATTGTATTGAATGGAAAAAAAAAAAAAAAAAAAAAAAAAAAAAAAGTCCAAGGAGGAGGACACGGTCAGACATGTGACAAGGCTCCCAATATGCAGTGTTATGCAGAGGACACTCACAGGGCTGCTGCAAGTCTACAATGAGCTCTGCATTTTATTAATGAAACAAAGTGCAGGTTTATGTGGCATACGTGCCCAGTTTTAAAGTGGACACCTAGTGGTTTTCAGATTTTCTTTATTATATTCTAGAACAGGGGTGGGCAAACTTTTTGACTTGAGGGCCGCAATGGGTTCACATATTGGACCCGGGGGCCGGACCAAGAGTAGATGAATGATGTGTATGTGTCATCCATAGTAAGTATAGTAATATTCCCCCATAGTAAGCATAGTAATTAATCCCCCATATAGTAATTCATCCCCCCATAGTAATTCACCCCCCATATAGTAATTCATCCTCCATATAGTAATTCATCCCCCATAGTAATTCATCCCCCTATAGTAATTCATCCCCCATATAGTAATTCATCCCCCATAGTAATTCATCCCCCATCTAGTAATTCATCCCCCATAGTAATTCATCCCCCATATAGTAATTCATCCCCCATATAGTAATTCATCCCCCATATAGTAATTCATCCCCCATATAGTAATTCATCCCCCATAGTAATTCATCCCCCATAGTAATTCATCCCCCATAGTAATTCATCCCCCATATAGTAATTCATCCCCCATATAGTAATTCATCCCCCATAGTAATTCATTCCCCATATTAAGTCCCCAAGTCCCCCCTGTGTCAATTCACTTACCTTTGCTCCGCGCGTTCCTCTCGCCGTGTCCCGCGCCGTTCCGGTGTAGCATGAAAATCTGTCTCCTATGAGGATCTGTCCCCCTCGACGTATCTGCACATGTGCCAGTTTCAGGCATTAGCAGCCGATCGGCGATCTCCGACACATGCGCAGATACGTCGAGGGGGACAGATCCTCATAGGAGACAGATTTTCATGCTACACCGGTCTTCAGGGCGGACTGTGAGAGGAGCCTAGCTCCGCGGGCCGGATTAAAAGGTCCGCCGGGCCGTATACGGCCCGCGGGCCGTAGTTTACCCATTGCTGTTCTAGAGCTAAGATATACAATGTATTTTTGTCAGGTATACAAGCAATATTGCTTTTGGATATTTTGTATTTTCATTTCTGGCCAGTAAATGGAGCTCTAGATTCCTTTTCTTGTGTTTTTTTTCTTTTCTGTTCTTAACTGCCTGTTGAAAAACCGTGAGATCCAACAAGAAAATAAGAGAATCTGCGAACAAATCATTTCTGCTGTGCCCTCTCTGTGATACAGGTGTCACACTGTATATTATTACATGAATTAGTAAAAACAAATAAAAAAAAATAAAATTATATTGGTTTAAAAAAAAAAAAAAAAAAAAAAAAAAAAAAGTTAATGTTTAACCTCCTTCCTACCACCAATCTGCATATAGAGGTTCACGAGCACGACGCCCATGCTGAGGGTACATTATTCTATGTTGTCCCTTAGCCTCTAAGCAACTGTTGGCTGTCACACTTGACTGTAATTGACAGCGCTGGTCAATTCTATGCATGAAGGTTTAAAAAAAAAAAAAACACCTTCTGTGTGCAGCCCCTACCCCAGTGCCCCCTAATACTTATCTGAGTCCCAATTCAATCCAGAAATGTGCACAAGAGTCTCAGCACACACACACTGGCAGGTTAAGTGAATAAAAGCAGAAAAATGGGCATTGCAGTTTGCGGTGTATGTGTTGAATAGCTGAAAACCAGTCAGTGTGACCATGTCTCCACAGCAAAAAAAAAACCGCCCTACAATATGTGAGCATCAGAACTGGACTACAGAGCAATAGAAAAAGATGGCTTGCTCTGATGAATCACGTTTTCATTTACATCATGTGAATGGCCGTGTGTACATAGAAAGACGGCAAACAACCAGAAGCAGTGTGATGCTTTGGGCAAAGTTCTGCTGGGAAACACTGGGACTGCCATTCATGTGCATGTTACTTTGACACCGTACCACCTACCTAAACAATGCTACTGACCAAGTACACCCCTTCACGGAAATGGAATTCCCTGATGGTAGTGACCTATTTCAGCAGGATAATGCACCTTTCCTCACTCTCACTGTAAACATGGTGCAAGAATGGTTTGAGGAACACGAGTTTGAAGTGTTGACTTGACCTCCAAATTCTCCAGATCTCCATCCAATCAGGGGCGGACTGACAACTCATGGGGCCCCCGGGCAATAGGGGATCATGGGGTCCCTGTGTCCTTGCCCAAACGCAAAAAAGCCTATGAAAAAGATACCAGGGGCATCTCATGGGGCCCCCTACTGATCCCAGGCCCTCGGGCAGTGCCCGAGTTTCCAAATGGTCAGTCCGCCCCTGCATCCAATCAATGCATCTTTGGGATGTGCTGGAAAAATAAGTCTGTTCCATGGGGCCCTTCCTTGCAACGTACAGGATTTAAGGGTTCTGCTACCGACTGCTCGACGCCAGATACCACAGCATACCTTCAGAGGTCTAGTGACATCCATGCCTGGACAGGTCAGGGCTGTTATGACAGCAAAAGGGGGACCAACTCAATATTAGGTAGATGGTCATAAAGTTATGGCTGATTGGAGAGTTACATTCAAGTTAGTGGATGCTGCAAAATTTGGCTTGGGCATCTAGGCTTCAATGACCTCTGGTAACAAAAGAGTTAACATTTTAATATACAAGTTTCTCCAAAACCAATTCAAGTGCTGTTTAAAGGCATGGTTGAGTTTAGCCCTCAGAACAATGTTGTAAACTTTTACTTACCCCCGTGGCTCATATAAATCTGCGAGCTGGAACAGTATGTCTACTTCCATGGGTGTGACCTGTCCAAACCTTTGTGCAGCAAGTACAAACTCCTCTGCATCAGAAATGGGAGAGGGAAAAAAAGCAGTAGATTAATGACTGGCTTGCTGCAAAATGCCACCTTTTAACCCAGAATATTAAAAACAAACTATCCCTACCACGTGCTCAGACACGGTAAAATGAACTCACACTGTCACCTGATATCAGTCTCCTGCAATTCTTTGTACTGTATCTCTGGGAAAGGAAGTGCCAATATTAGGGGCATATCCCATGTGCTGAGAAGGAACATGCTGATAGGAGCAGAGTGAGCTGAGAAATAACCTCACCAGTCTGCTGCTGCTCCTTCAATATGAACAGGCGGGGTGGCAGGACATTAGGTGTTGCTTATAGTGGTTGGAAATGCTAAAGGTTTTTTTTTTATTACCTTCCTGCTTTCTGTGCAGGAAGGTAAAAAAAAAAAAAAAAAAAAAACACCTGTGTGCTGCTCCCCTCACAGCCCACAATAGTTACCCGAGCCCCCTCTCGATCCAGTGATGTGCACGGAAGCCTCAGCTCTCCCCTGGGTCTCTCTTTCTCCTCACTGGCCAAGACACGTCAGTGGGAGCCATTGGTTCCCACTGCTGTCAATCACAGATCACAGCCAGTAAGGAGAAAGTGGGGGGCTGGGTCAAGCTGTGGCTCTGTGTGTTTTATGGACACAGAGTGGAGCTTGGGAGTGAGCATGCACAATTGCCTCCATAGCAAGCAGTTTGCTACTGGTGGCACTGGTCAGGGGGGAGGAGCCAGGAGCGCTGGCAGGGGACCTGAGAAGCAGAGGATCAGGAATGCTCTATGCACAACCATTCTACAGAGCAGGTAAGAACGACATGTTTGTTATTAAAAATACAAACAAAAAAACTAACCTTTAATATTTTAAAGAAGAATTCCAGGTACAGATATTTTATACAGTTACAATGTTTTCCAGCTTGGACAGAAAGTCGGCCGCCCGGCACCAAAGCCATAAAGCATTTTCTGAATGAATGCAAACTGTTCTCTGATTGGACGAGGTGAAGATTGTGAGGTCACCACCCTGCCTCTCCACCTCATCCAATCAGGAAAGCATTCTTTGGATGACTTTGGTGCCGAGCAGCCGACCTCCTGTGTTCAGAATGCAGCAGGGCAGCCACTCGACATGGGATCCAGAAATAAGTAGAGATCACTGGAGTAGCGGTGTAATTTCCAGGGGCATTGATCAGGTATGGTATAGGCATAGTTATATTGATGCAAGTGGGACTAATGTAACTATGTATTAAATATCCATTTCTGGTATTCTTTAAAGACAGCAAAGAGAAAACTGCTGTCAGGTAAAACCGTTCCAACAAATGTATTTCAATCACCTATTTCGTGACTTTCCTGCAGTTCAGACATAAGGATACACACCAATAAAGCAGCTTTCCATAGCACTTCTTCGTGATGCACACTGAAAATCTTGTCAAAGTGACAAGAGGGGACTGGGCTGGATGTCCTTAACAAATGCTGTTGGAAAAAGCAATGTCACAACATACAGGGTCTGGCTGTGGCAAGGGATAATTTATCTACATCTAGCAAGCAAAACAAGTGGCAACCGCTTCAATCAATTACTAGCTAGTAATAAATTAAAGGGAAACGTCACCCAAAAGTGTAAGTTCCGCTTTTCTGCCCACTCCCTTCTCCTTTTAACAATTTATTTTAATTTTTGGGGGAGCGGATACCTGCTTTTGAGAGGTACCCGCTCCCACTTCCGTCCGGATCGCATAGGTGATCCGAGTGGAAGTTGGCCCCCCCGCCACCTTTTCCCACAGCCTTCTGGGACACATCACAGGTCCCAGAAGGCTGCAGGACCATTCACAAAACGCAGCATGGCTCACGCATGCACAGTAGAAAATGGGCTATGAAGTCGCAAGAAATCACAGCCAACATCCCACACTAAACCTGCCAGCGCTGGGGACCCTAAAATCAGTAAAGAGTCAGCCTGGGTGAGGATGGCACTGGATCCATGGACAGGTAATAAAAGTCAGCAGCTGCAGTATTTGTATTTTTTGTTTGTTTCTAGAGGAAAGAACAGGTTTAACTGGAGTTGTCACTTTTGCCATACTTTTGGTGTGTCTTTGAACCTTTTAGAAGGAATGGGCTACATCCAGGTATACCTGCTCTCAATGTATTCATTGCTATATATGCTCCAAGATGGGAGCGCTGTTACGCTAGGATTAGGGGCTGCACAGAGGGTCCTTGAATAAGGTAGTGTGGCTTTCACATATATTTGCAAATGTATGCAGCTAAAATGTGGTTTTAGCGTAAATTAACTTAACCAGCTATTAATTTCAGATGCAAATCCCTAAATTTTAACACAATGCATTTAAAACGTATGGCATGTTTTAAAAGTGCTGATGTATGGGCAGCACAGTGGCTAAATGGTTGGCACTCCTGCCTGGCAGTACTAGGGTCATTGGTTCGAATCCCAACCACAGCACCACCTACCTGGAGTTTGCATGTTCTCGCTGTGCCTTTGTGGGTTTTCTCCAGGTTCTCCGGTTTCCTCCCACACTCGAAAGACATGCTGGTAGTTTGTCTCCTGTCTAAATTGGCCCTAGTATGTTTATGTATGAATGTGAGTTAGGGACCTTAGACTGTACGCTCCTTGAGGGTTAGGGACCGATGTGAATGTACAATATATATGTAACGTGACAGAGCTATACAAGTACCTGTAACAAATATTAAATAAATGAAAGCAGTCTTAGTTCTTCCCTCTAGGACAACAAAAGACCTCCCTCATATTAAGGAGATGAGGAGCGAGGGAGGTGTTCTGTAGCCCAGTAGAGGAAACTTCAGACAGCGCCAATAACTGGGATTTCAGTGCAGTAGAGACTGCACTGCCAGCGCAAAGAGAAAGTTCTGGCAAGATCAGCAGGTATTATTCTGGACTTAAAGGGATAATGTACAGGAAAATGTGCACATATGGCAGAGATGTACTGAAAACATTCTCTATTTTGGCCAGACATACAATTTAAAGGAATAATGACATTGTTTTTGAACTATTTAAATACCATTGCTATCCAATACAGTGGACCTCAAAAATGATTAGGAGCAATAATTTGGTGTGCAAAAGCTTGACTTGGGTAAAAAGCCAAACTTTCTGTACAGCAAATGCAAGACTTCAGGGATTTCACAGCACAAAAACTTAAAAATATGTTAAAAAAAAAAAAAAAAAAAAAAAAAAGTATGGGTTATCTGCTACAAGAAAAAATAAACTATTGTTCTTTGGTGACAGATGCAATTATAGAACAACGCTGCTATAATTTTTCTTCTCTAAGCAAAGGCTGGGGAGATACCTGTGTCCAGACTACGAGATATTTTATCCTTCAGCATCAACTATTTAATGGAAAGCCCAGAAGGAGTTTTAACTGTGAAAAAGGAAACCGTAGATGTGGTCATGGAGGAAGAGATAACATCATGTTCCCAGCTTGTCGACCAGCTCACAGAACTGTCAAGGGGAAAGTACAGTACTCTACTCAACTCGCCTTCAAGGACATGTCAACATGTTGCCAATTTGGACGAAGGCCCAGTTAGCGCTGTCCGTAAGCTCTTCACCCAAATCTTGGCTGTAATATTTTTTTCTTTCTTATTTTAAGCCTCAGACTTGGCACAAAGATATGAAAACTTGAAAGGTGTTTCAAGTACTACAGAGCAGACAAGAAAAACATACTGCAAATGTGTGACACGGAGGAGGTAAGACATGAACTTCACATTTCAAGTTAAATGGCAAAGGAGTGGTGGGTAAGCCCATTTAAAAGAAAGAAAAAAAAAAAAAAAAAAAACAACAGCTAAGTACACAGATGACATACATGAGTGGGAGAGGTTTTACCTGCCAAAGGATTTGTAATGCTGTCTATCCACTGCTGAGATTTACACAGCTCTGCCACACATACACAGCCCTGGCAGGGAAGGAGGACTGACTTTTCCCTGCTGCGGTTAACACAAAGGCCTTGTTTACACTGCCACTGATCTCTGAAGAGCAATTCATGCTCAGATTGCTTTTTAGAGAAAATCTGACAGGCAGTGAGGGGATATTGCATTGCCTCTTCACTGCAGGATTTAATCCCTTCAACCCTGCACTAGCACAGCACAACTGTGTGCACTGCACATGGTTAAGGGGCACCCTAATTTTTGTTGTGCCATGTGTACACATCACAAAGCAGCTGGGACAGTATGGGGTAGTAAAACCACATGGTTTTTACCCCCCCCCCCCCCCCCCCAACCGCTAGTGTAAGCAAAATCTTACAAATCTTGACTGGACAGTGTAAAGAGAAGCAGCAGACTGATGACAATCTCTCTTTCACTTTGCCCTAACCCCCTATCAGTACGTATCTTGTTAGCACATAAGCACTGCAGCACAACCAACTGGCTTCTTGTGTTGCTTCACGCTTCCCCAGTTTGAGGTTTGTATCTATAATGTTATGGGAAGGTTTTTGGTGAAATGATTGGTCTGGTGACAGGGCCTCTTAAAGGAGAGGCAGAAGATGGACGAGCTCCTCCTATCAGCATAAACCTTGTTAGCACATAAGCAATGCAGCACAACTGATTGGCTCCTTGTGCTGCTAATTCCTTCCCTAATCTGGGCTGTGCTGTACATAGCTTGCAAAAGGCTGATACCAAGTCAAAGTCAGGTATTTACAGTGCGATTTCAAAATATATATATTTTAAGAATGTATTACCGGATACAGAGCTGTGTCAGTTTGTGTCTTTTACATCCTCCTGTTAACGAGTAACTCCACTTTTGTTGAGAAAAAAAACATCCCCCTCTAGGTGATCTATGTACATTGCAGGGATTTTAACAATTTTTGTTGCAGATCTCTACCTTTCTTTATTCTGAAGAAATAGCTGTTTATCTGCATCCATGTGCACAAAGCACCTGTATAGGAGTTATTTTATGATGATCAATCAGCTCCTGCACTTGCAGGGTTCTAATGAGGAAAGTGTCTGGGTCTGCATCCCTTTAGATGTGATTTCCCTTTGGGAGTATCTCTCCAAAAATGACGTTGTTGCAGGGATGCTCAAAATCTGATTTGTATCTTAGTACAGTTTTCCAGAAAAATCAGTGAGCCAATCACACTAGCGGGAAATTATATTTCCGGGGGGCTTCTGTACACCATCTGTGTGCAGAACGCCTCCAGGTTGCCATATTGCATTTTACAGAAAATTACAGTGCTGCAGATGGAAAAGAAACATTAATTTTTACAACAATATGACCTGTGTTGCAATTGTATTTTTATCATCTTTTTTTATTTGCTTTTTTCCCATAAGTGGAGTCACCGTTTATGATAACACAGTGATTAAAAAAAAAACACTTGCCCAACAGTACCATCAAAAAAAGCAGCAAAGTCTTGAAAAGTCAGACCATTAGGCATCCTACAGCTCAAGCAACCAACCTTTTGTGACCTCCACATCTTTCTTGTTTCCGGCCAAGGTACTGTAGATCTTTCTAATAAGCTCCATGTTGTTCAGCAAGGAATTAAATGCATTGAAGTAGGAGAAGCTGACCTGGTGAGATATGGTACCTCCAGCAGCCTTAAATGAAAAGGATTGGCAAAGAAAACAGGTTAGAAAGCCTTTTTTTTTTCTAAATAAAGAGATTTGAACGAGGGAAGAAAAAAAAAAAAAAAAAAAAAAAGACTGCAGAGTCCACAAAGATTTATGGGGAAGAGAATTCAAACTGTCAAAGAAAAAGACTCTTTGCCTGCTAATAAAGTCCATAAAAGCTCTCCCCTATGAGCATCTGAGGCAAACCAAAAGCAGAAACCTAAACAAACACATGTGGTGGATTACAGCGGCCCAGGCATCAGTGATTTACAAGGCTATACATTAAATATTGCCGGGGTCACTCATGTTTTACAAGTCTATTTATTTCATTTAATGAATGTAGAAACATCTCACTGTAATGCTGGAAGAATAAAGCCTGGGGGGAAAAATGGAACTAAATATATTAAAAATCCTATGCTGAAATGGGCTAGAAATAAATAGATCTTTCTGGGTAAACTGAAGTTTCACAGTCGCTGTTCACACTGCTTGATGGATCAAGTCTGCAGTTAAAGAGCAACTCTTCCCAAAACAAATATTTCCGTTTTGGATGGACACTGCTTAGATGATGTGCACACCGACATTTCTTGGGCAAAACCACAACTGAAATTTGATAACAGTTTAGGTCACCAACCCCTTCAATAAAATCATCACTTCCTCACAATCTGACTGTCCACCTGACTACTCTATAAAAGCTCTTTACATGCAAAGAATGGCAAATCTATGTATATATATTTTTTTACGTTTTAGATAGAGTGGGGAAGAATTAGACACCCTGGTGAGTTTTAATTGCTGCTTGTGTCCCCAATGGGGATATTCATCCTCTAATTGTCCTGGTAATCATTTGTCAATGAGACTGAAAATGGGTTAAAATTCCAACATTTTAGAGAAGTTCTGACAGCAAGAGCTGAGTGAAAAATCTTCTGGGGGACACAGATGTTCTGTTTCCTTTAAAGCTGAAAGCCGGACAAATAAAGATAATTGCTTGTTTTGGTCTAGGGGAAAGATAAAAGATAATGTACTTCCCTGATCCTCCCTGCACATGATTGGTCCCTGCAGTTCTTGCATTCCAGCAGTCCCGATTTCTAATGTCATCAAGTCCAGAGCAGCATTCATAGCCCTGCTATGGACATGAGGATGCCAGGATAAACTTATGAAATGGGATTTTAATTCACAATTAATACCACTGAGGAACACGGATTATTTTCCTCCAGGTAAGGAGAGCACAGGAAAATGGTTTAAAAAAGAAGATATCCAATTGAGAGACGTTATGGAAGGACAGGAATTGAGAACACTTAAGGAGTTGAAAAAAGATAAAAGGGAACTCTTCATTAAAATAGATGAGTGGAGATATCACCAGTTAAAACACTTTGTCAGAAACCTTCCAAAACCATTGAGATCGAGAAAGGATTGGAATCTGTTTGAGAGGTTGTTAGAAACACGAGGTGACGGGAGGCGGGGTACGGCAAAAATTTATAAGACCCTCACTGAGTTAGACACTTGCACAAAGCCAATGTATATAGAAAAATGGGAAAGAGACTTGGGAATAGAGATAGATGAAGATAAACAAAGGAAAATATATAGATTAATACACGAGAATAAAAGTATGAGAGAGGTGGAGGTAAATTATAAGTGTTTAACGAGATGGCACATTACACCGAAGGTTGAGTATAAGATATGTGGGGAAAATTCACAAGAGTGCTGGAGGGGTTGTGGAAAAATAGGCACGTTATATCATATATGGTGGGAGTGCCCGAAGATCCAAGGTTTTTGGGAGATAATTGTCCAACTAATTGAGAATATCTCTGGGATAAAGATAGGACTGGACCCAGAAGTATGTCTACTACATAGTACAGAGTTATCAGTAAATAAATATAAGGACTCGGGTATATGGTGCTACCTGAATGCGGCGAAGGGTGCCGAAGATAGAGGACTGGGTGGAAAGAACGAATCAAATATGTAGGATGGAGAGATTGTGTTATATGCAGGAAGACAGGATGGAGTTGTTCTCTAAGAGGTGGAGAAAATGGGAAGAATTTATGGTGAAATATATGAAGTAGCAATGTGAGAAAGATGGAAGGATTTTATATATCCTATATTCTAGTCGGAAAAAGAGGTAATAGAACAATGCAGAGTGGGTGGGTTTACATGGGGGGGAGGGAGGTTTTTATTTAGGGAGGAGGGGAAATTAGATAGGGGGGGGGGGGGTAAATGGGAATAAAGATAGTAAGAAATGTTATTAATGATATGGAAATGGTTTTTTTTGTATGAGAATAATGATGAAATAAGTATTATATATGGAAAATAAATAAAAATCTAAATTAAAAAAAAAAAAAAATGAGGCTGCCAGGAACAGTCCATTGCCAGATCATGGAGGGGCGCCGTTTGCCAAGGGGGCAGGGGATCAGGTAAGCATATGGGTTCCTCCTTTCCCCTGGAAAAAATGAACACTTAAATTGGAACTGAAGTCCCACTGTAAAAAACTGCAAGCAGAAAAGCTTTAATTGCAGAAGAGACATGCACTGTGTGTCTTCTGCAATAAATAGCAGCATATATATACCGCGAGGCAAACAAGGTGTTTGCCTAGGGGGTCATTTTCAGAGGGGTGGCACCCCTCCTACACCCCAAAAGGTACAAAATTAGCAGGGATGGGGACCTGGTCAGCTCCACCTTGAGAACCGGAGGATGCTGCACGCCGCTTCTGTCATTGTTGGGGGGTTGCGGCGATGGGCTGTGGTGGTGGTGGGGCAGCAGCAGGGGGGAGAGGAGGGGGGAATGCAGTGATGGGCTGGTGGGGGGAAACCCGATTTTAGTGTTGCTTAGGGCAGCATGTGAAATAAATACACTAATGGCTATAAAATTCCCCTACCTGCCTGCTTGCCACCTCCCCTGGTGCTGTAAACTGAGATGCGAGTACACAGGAGAGACTTCATCCCCCGCCGGCCAATGGAGAGGCTGAAAGACCAGCACATGACAGTTGGAAAGGCAAGTATGGAGCCTTTAGTTCTGCTTTGGGCCTTGCAGTGCAGACACTGTCCCACTGCAAGGGATCATTTTTTTCCACCTGCAGTTGAGCTTTAGCTTCTTGTTACATCTTCAAGGAAGTAAAGGAAAATCTCACCGAGATACAGACAGCAAAAAAATAACCTGGGGTCTCTAACACTTTCTCCTCTATCCAAAACTACAGAAAGAAGGTTTGATTATACATACACTGAAGAGACATACAGTGCATCAGCAAAATGAGTACACCCCTTTTCAAAAGTAAGATTTTAATCAATATCTCAGTGAACACAAGAACAATTTCCAAAATGTTGACTAAACTGAATTTTATAGAACATTTGTTTAGCTCATTACATGAAAGTAAGGTTAATAATATAACTTGGATTACAAAATATTCAGTTTTATTCAAATTCATTGATGTAAAAAAGGAATCCATCCCACAACAAAAACTACTCCATCTAGTATTTTGTATGACCTCCATGATTTGTAAGGACAGCTCCAAGTCTTCTAGGCATGGAATGAACAAGTTGGAGACATATTGCAACATCGATCTTTTTCCATTCTTCAAGAATGACCTCTTTTAGAGCCTGGATGCTGGATGGAGAGTGATGTTCTACTTGTTTCTTGAGAACTCCCCATAGGTGTTCGATTGGGTTCAGATCAGGAGACATACTTGGCCACTGAATCACTTTCACCCTTTTCTTCAGAAATGTAACATTGGCCTTAGATGCTTGTTTTGGATCATTGTAATGTTGGAAAAGTGCACAACAACGACCAAGGGCACAGAGTGATGGTAGCATATTCTCTTTCAATATAGAGCAGAACATCTGTGAATTCAAGACACCATCAATGAAATGCAGCTCCCCGACACCACCAGCGCTCATGCAGCCCACAAAAGGACACTGCCACCACCACCATGTTTCACTGTAGGCACCATTCATTTTTCTTTGTACTCCTCACCTTTGTGACGCCATAAACTTTTGAAACCATCAGTTCCAAAAAAACATTTATTTTGGTCTCATCACTCCAGAGTCCCAGTAGTCTTCTTTTCAGCATGGACCCTGGCAAATTCTAGGTGGGCTTTTTAAGTGCATGAGCTTTAGGAGAGGCTTCCTTTGTGGACCACACACGCATGCCATTCCTCTGCAGTGTACCCTATATTGTGTCACGTGAAACAATCACCCCAGTTTGGCTTTCTATGTCTTTAGCCAACTGCAGTGAACTTGCATGGCGATTTACTTCAACCCCTCTAATCAGAAGACGCTCCGGTCGAGGTGGTAACTTCTGTGGATGGCTTGGACGTCTCTGTGAGATGGTTGCAGTTTCATTCTTGTTAAATTTTTGTATCACTTTTGCTACAGTATTCTGACTGATAAGTAAAGCTTTGCTGATTATCTTGTAGCCTTCACCTTTCTTGTGTAAAGAAATGATTTTCTTTCTCAGGCCTTGTGACATTTCTCTTCCATGTGGTGCCGTTGCTAACAGCATTAAATGGGAAGGGATTTTCTTTGTTAACACCCTTTTATAATCAACTGTCTGCTGGACACCTGTTTAATAAATAGACTCACCTGTAGTTGAATTCTTGTTAATTAGGATTTTGTCTAAAATTTAGCTTTACTCCTAAAACTTTCATTGGGGTGTATTCAGTTTTGCAAAATTGTCTTGAATTAATTTTGCTAGGAAAAATACTGTGTGTGCAAATTAACAAATCATGTTTGCAATCAATGGCCCACATTTGTGGGAGCATTTTGTAGTATGGTATCCCATGGAAAATGTTGATTCTGAAAGAAAAGTAAAGGTTTTCTGACAAATCTGTTGGGGTGTACTCAATTATGCTGACCACTGTATAAAGGCACAAAAACAAACAGACACCTGAGGTACCCAAGAATTACAACTTATAATTATGTAAAAAATGCAGTTTTATAAATATTTTAAATCTAAAAATACAGTCATTGAAATACCTCCATCACACAGGTTTAATATGTCAATCTCACTGAATCAGTATATCACGTCCAAATTTTTCATACTTCTTAAGACACATGATGCAGTGGACAGTGATCCTTATTCCTTTATGCATTTCTCAGACATATTCTGCTTCCTCTGAGATATCGAGAAACATGTAGAAGTAGAAGGATCCCTTTATCCACTGCATCATTAGTCATAAAAAGTTTCTACACATGCTTCCTCTGATTGGCTGAGATGGAGATTGTGACCTCGTCCACCCACCTCAGCCAATAAGAGGACATTTTGCACAAACCACCCTGTAAATGGCTTAGCAGTATTCAGCCTGAATCAATTTTGTTCCAGAAGTAAGATGGGAACATCTCTTCCCTTACCAAAACACAGCACTGTATACTGAGTGTATCGAAGGCCACATACAGTTTATACAGCGCACACAGCACTGTTACACAGCTGAAAAATCTTTGTGACATGCTGGAGGAGTTTATGCATACAGAGTAAACCATTTTCTCCAAGTGTTGACCAACACAAAATATCATGTGACTACTGCGTCAGTCCATAAAATGGCAGTTTCTGTTGCATGAGTGCAGGGACAGGTCTTCTTACAGCATAGACAAAAGGGCCTGACCCTACAGCTTTATCATTCATGAAAGGTAACAGAAGAATCTGAAACTCACCAAATACTAGGACATTTGATCATGTGATCCTACTTGGCCCATTCAAACCAGCGGGCGCAGATTAAGGTGCACATAAAGCATCCCCACTGGTATACATTGTGCACATGCGCTGCAATTTTGTTGTACAATGTATCACAGCACTTGCTTTTTTTTCTTTTAAAATGTATTGAACTTGACTGCTTATTTAACTCTATGCACAGCAGCACATTGCAATGTGTTCTGAAAAAAATGCAACATATTCTACTTTTTCTCGGCCCACACCATTGCCGAGGGTTGGTGTGAAGGGCATAAGGCAAGTCGTCTTGTCTACATGCTGGGATGGCACTGAGCAACTCTGTTCAATGGGGCTGAAGTGACCGAGCCCCAAAAAAAGGAGGATCAGTGTTCAAATAAAAGCTGCCAGCCAAGTCTCTCCTATGTTCACACAAATAGGTAAGCATTCAGTTATGTGACCAAAAACTCTGTGGGTCCTGGAGCAGTTTCTGCACAAATGTTACGTTTGCCATAGCTTCTGCTACTGTTGGGTTGAGCAGGAAAGCGTAGGTCTTATTTGACTTTATGGGCCCATTCACCCTAGTAACTGCATGTGACACTGTGCGGTTCCTGTGCAACTTCCATGCAGTTCTGTGAAGTGCGATTTTAGTCCATTCATTTTGATTGGACTGAAATCGCACCACACCAAAAGTAGTGCATGCACTACATTTTGAAATGCACTGAAACGGGACTGCATGCTTCTTTACCATCTTGCGTTTGTGACCTGTGTTTGGGGTGTTAACTTTGCACTGACATCCACTGCAGAATACAAGGGCAGTGTGATTGGAATGTGGTTTGGGAACCTGCACAGGAACGTAAGTTTCCCGCACTGCATTCTAGTGTGAATGGGCCCTCAGACTATTTTAATGTGACACTTTAGAAGGACTTAGCACTTTAAAGCGGAGCTCTACACAAAAGGGGAAGTTCCGCTTTAAGGACTGCTCCCCCGATCCCCATTAAGGATTGGCACCTGTGGGGGGCGGGGGGTAGCAGGTACCCCGAATTTGACAGGTACCCGCTCCCACTTCTGGCCCAATTGCCTAGGCGATCGGAAGTGGAAGCTGTCCTTCAACCCTGTACTCTTTTGGGACACATGACAGGTCCCAGAAGACTACAGGACCATTCATGAAGCGCAGCGCTACTTGCGCATGCGCAGCGGGTACCCGGCTGTGAGGCTGCAATCTGTCACAGCCGAGTGCCCATACTGAAGATGTCGGCCTCCTGGAATACAGGACGGCCGGTGAAACGGGCTGCAGGGGACACACCGTGGGACAGGTAAGTGGCTGTTTTTTAAAAGTCAACAGCTACAGTTTTTGTAGCTGCTTTTACTTTTTGACAGCGTGAGTGGAACTCCGCTTTAAGGCTAGGTCCACACTAATGCAGGTGCTTGCGGGAATTACAGCTGTTCCTGCACCAGCAACCATCCGCAGCCAAAACACACGGGGCTACCATTCATTTTTAAAACACACCCCTATGCATCTAAAAACTCAGTGAGTTTGCAAGTGCGGGACCTGCAGAGAAATCGCACCATGTGATTTCCCAGCCACTGGGATTTCAAAATGCTACAGGAATCTTTTTGCTGTGTGAAATGCAGGCACAGCAGCCCATTCAAATGAATGGACTGCATTGCATGCGCAAACATGGTCCGCAAAGCCGCAATAATGTAAATCTAGCCTAAAGCAAAGTCCACTGCACTAAACTGAAATAGAAAAAGAAAATGTAATGGGCAGTTGCTAATATACTTACCTTTCTCTTTGCTTCCAAACTGCAAGGGGCAAAGTCACCATCATTACAATGAGATTAAAAGGACATGAAGAGTACCCAAATCAAAAGAGATGATGCCCTAACACCATGCAGAACTGTATTTCCCATGAACTCTGGGCTACTCAGTATTCCCTGAGAATTGTCACAATGCGATATGAATGTACAAAATATATATATACATGTAAAACGCTATGTAAATTGACAGCCCTATATAAGTACCTGTAACAAAAATAATAATAATGATGGTCACATCAGCCTTGCCTAGGCGTTGCAGGCAGAAGCCAGGGTAAGGGCAGTATATTAACTTTTGTCCTAAAAAGGAAATAAACTGCATACTTTTTTCATAATAAAATAAGTTCTACTGCCTCCAAAAGAGCGGCATAGAAATCTGCAAAGTGTCAAAATGAAAGAGAGCAGCCTCCCTGGAACATCAGAGAGCCAAGTTAACACAACAGCAGAATATATTCCTATGCAGAAAACTGTTCCCTACATGACGGTCCTAATTGTGTGGAAATAATTGTTCTTCCCTTCAGTTTAAAAAATTGAAAAAGAAAGCCCGGTACACAATAGGTTTCCTTTGATAGTAAGACAGCGGTTGTGCAGCACAGTGGAAGTATTACATGCTTTTTGAGCACCTTATATGTTTTGGCGATTTCATCACAAAACTCCAAAAACGTGTTTCTGGATCTTTAAGTGTTACTACCAGACTTACTGCAACTAAGCACTGCTCCACAAACGGGGTCAGGACGTGTGGACGGATAGTGACCATAATATCTCTAAAGTCCATTGCGTTGATTGTTCCTGTGTGGTCATTATCACGCTGTACGAAGGCTTGCCTGGCATGTTCCAGCTGGATTTCCTATAGAGGAGAGAAAAAAAAAAAAAAGGATCACAAACAGGCAAAGGACGAACGATTTCATCTGCTTATATTAGGACGCTTAAAAGCTGAAAGTTATATTTTGCTTTCTCTGGTACCTCCTTTCTACCATATCAACAAGCAAACAATTCTTTAAAATAAAACCTGTTTTCATTACATACCTTATTTTAGACCCAGCAATATCACTGGGTCTCTGTGTGCTTTTCTATGAAATGTAGGCATTTCACGGAAGGTGGGAAGGGCTGCTGGGTGTAGTGGCAACACCCACACCTGATGCAGAACCTCCATAATTGAAAAAACCCAATGAATGGGAGGGGTAGGCCAGTGACATTAAGCCTGGGGAGGAAAAGGCTAGATCATGATGGACTTATGCAGGCCATACATGACACTGGCTGATTTTCATGGTTCCTCCCCTTTTCGGTGATCGGGCATGTTGGGAAATTTGTGAAAAACAACCGATTTTTGACTCCATGATGGTCAAATCGTACAATTGTTTTTTCCAAAAAGAATATACGCATGAGCCATGACCTGGAAGGAACAGAAGTTTAGCCTGTTATATGGGGTGAACTTTATGACTTGGTCAGCCGATTTTCTAAATCATCGATGGCACCATCGGATTACACAGAGCGAACAACGTTTTTGATTTTCAGATGAAAAATCGGTCAAATTTTGACCCATGTATGGCCAGCATATGGTGCAATAACCACAAGGGGAGTGCTGGTGACCAACCTTACTGGGCATAACAGCCCTACACACCATAGTGGTCACCTAGCCTACAGGCACCCAGATGTCACAAGGCTTCACTGCTAATTCTGCATAAGTTGCAGCTATCTGGGGAAGTCAGACAATATTTTGTAAACATTTGTTAAAAGGATAAGTTCACCTCTCAACATGTTACAACCATATTTAGGGTGTAACATGTTGAGCATATTCCTCCTCTCCCCCTGATCTGCAGCCTCCTTGTGACAGCAGGCCGGGGATCTTCTCCCTGCACTTGCTGTCACAATTTGAAAACAGCATGGTCGTGCGGAGCTCCGCCCACACGGCCATGCTATTCGTTCACAGGGTTCTGTGAATGAAATACAACTACCATCAGCCATTAAGGACGATGGCTTGTAATCCATTGAGCTTCCTGGACTTCAGTAACTGCCTGACCGTACTGGAGGTATGGGCAGGGCTGCTGTTAGAAACCACGGGCCCCATACAGCCAACCTGTCCGGGCCCCATACAGCCAACCTGTCCGGGCCCCATACATACAGCCAACCTGACAAGGCCCCCCCCAAAACAAAACACAGTTTACTATGCTTCAGTTATTAAATGAACACAGTGAGCGATTGGTACAAAGCACTCATTAAGTTCATCTAGGAAAGGAAGGGGCTGGTAACGGTGACATTATACTGGACCCTTCCACCACTCCCCACTCCATCCTGAAGGTTCCTATTGCATGCTTTACAGCTGCCGGAGGGAAGGAGAAGAGGGAAGCTGGCAGCACTGGGGGTTGGGGGCACACAGGGGGGTCTGGGCAGTAGGGGGAAACATATGGTACACAGGGAGGGTGATGGGTGAGGCGGGGAGCAATTAGTGGAACCAATCCCCTGTATGGCTTTCTCTGCAGCAACTGAAAGCCAGTGGGAGGGAGAAGAGGAGCAGCCCTTCCTCCCCCCAGCCCACATCCCATTAACCCAGCTGCCTGGGCCCCCCTGCTGGCCTGGCACCGTACAGGATACAGTGGTACCCCCTTATCCACGGCCCTGGGTACAGACAGACTGACAGTGTACTGACATTCTGAAAGAGCTTGATATTGCACGTGCGTTCTGCTTACAGTGCGTGATTTGCTTTACAGGCTCAAGAAAAAAATAATAGATGCACATTTTTTTTACCTGCAAAAAAATGTGTATTTATTACAGTTGCAAGAAAAAGTATGTGAACCCCTTGGGATTACGTGGAGTTTTGCATGAATTGGGCATAAAATGTGCTCTAAACCTCATCTAAGTCACAACCATAGAAGAACACAGTCTGCTGAACATAATACTACACAAATATTAGATGTTGCCATGGTTTAATTGCACATAACATGTAAACATTCACAGTGCAGGGAGGAAAAAGTATGTGAGGCCCTAGCTTAATGACTTCTCCCAGAGCTAATTGGAGCCAGGAGTGAGCCAACCTTGACTCCAATCAGTGTGATGATATTGGATGTGTTGCTGACAGCTGTCCTGCCCTTAAAAAAAACACACACCTGATTTGGGTTTACTGGTTTCAAGAAGCACTATCTGATGTGAACCATGCCTCGCAGAAAAGAGCTCTCAGAAGACCTACGATCAAGAATTGTTGACTTGCATGAAGCTGGAAAGGGTTACAAAAGTATCTCCAAAAGCCTTGATGTTCATGTGTCCACGGGAAGACAGACTGTCTACAAATGGAGAAAGTTTAGCACTGTTGCTACTCTCCCTAGGCGTGGTCGTCCTGTAAAAATGACTGCAAGAGCACAGCGCAGAATGCTGCATGAGGTAAAGAAGAATCCCAGAGTGTCAGCTAAAGACCTACAGAAATCTCTGGCACATGCTAACATTTTTGTTGACGCATCTAGAATAAGGAAAACATTAAACAAGAATGGAGTACATGGGAGGACACCACGGAGGAAGCCATTGCTGTCCAAAAAGAATATTGCAGCACGTTTGAAGTTTGCAAAAGAGCACCTGGATGTTCCACAGCACTACTGGCAAAATATACTGTGAACAGATGAAACCAAGATTGAGTTGTTTGGGAAGAACACACAACACTGTGTGTGGAGAAAAAAAGGCACAGCACACCAACATCAAAACCTCATCCCCACTGTAAAACATGGCGGAGGGAGCATCATGGTTTGGGGCTGCTTTGCTGCCTCAGGGCCTGGACGGATTGTTGTCATTGATGGGAAAATGAATTCCAGAGTTTATCAAGACATTTTGCAGAAAAACGTACGACCATCTGTCTGCCAACTGAAGCTCCGCAGAGGATGGGTGATGCAACAGGACAATGACCCAAAGCATACAAGTAATTCAACAAAACAATGGCTGCAACAGCACAGAATACGCCTTCTGGAGTGGCCCAGTCAGAGTCCTGACCTCAACCCGATTGAAATGCTGTGGCATGACCTTAAGAGAGCGATTCACACCAGACATCCCAAGAACATTGCTACAATGAAACAGTTTTGTGAAGAGGAGTGGTCCAAAATGATTCCAGATCGTTGTGCAGGTCTGATCTGCAACTACAGGAAACGTTTGGTTGAGGTTATTGCTGCCAAAGGAGGGTCAACCAGTTATTAAGTCCAAAGGTTCACATACTTTTTCCTCCCTGCACTGTGAATGTTTACATGTTATGTGCAATTAAACCATGGCAACATCTAATGTTTGTGTAGTATTATGTTCAGCAGACTGTGTTCTTCTATTGTTGTGACTTAGATGACATTCAGAGCACATTTTAAGCCCAATTCATGCAAAACTCCACGTAATCCCAAGGGGTTCACATACTTTTTCTTGCAACTGTATATATATTATTTAAAACTCTTAACCTTAAAAAATAAAAAAAAAAATACACATTTTTGCTTGTAGTTCATCTTTAAATGTGCTGTCATGAAAATGTTTGCTTTAAAACATGGGGGCAATGTGAGAGATTCCCATTAAAACCGAGAAGCATCTTTTGGGCAGGAAGGCAGGCAAGAAGCAGATGTATAGCAATGTTCTGTAGTCACTGTCATCTGGCCACATTACGATCATCTCCCAGGAAGTCTGATAAAAGGTTACAGCTTCCTCCTCCAGGACTCTGACTGATGCTGTAAAAAAGGAAAACGTACAGCGTGTGCTTCTCAATCACTGCAGCTCACTGCTTCTGTGGCTGATGGTGCGGATCAGGGAAGCTACATGTAAAATGCATTAGGGACCCATCTGGTCCAGGTTAGGGCGACATTAAAGGACGTGACTTCACACTAGTAACTTCACGTACACTCGGGCTCCAGCTGCCGACAGTTCGAGGTCTAGACATGGTAACAAGAGGATAACTCATACACACAACATAAAAAGCTGCCCAGCGCTGGAACGCTGTAATAGTTACACAGCCAAACACTTTTCCACGAGCAATAAATTATCATCAGTGGAAACGCAAGCTTTGCATTTAACAGAAGGAAGCTGTGACAGACCAGGGGACAAAAGGAAAGAATGACTGGATGAAAATGTAAAATGGCAAGAATATAGCAATGGTATTAAAAATTAGGTTAAACTGGTAGTAAACCCCCTTAGATAAATCCAGTGAAGTGACTGGCCTGAAGTGATACACAAAAATGAAGAAAATCCTCCTACATAAGTTGTACCTGTTTATCTGCAGTCTTCTCTTCAAACTGGGCTGCACAGTGTCTAAATGGTTAGTACTTCCGCCTGGTAGTACTAGGGTCATTGGTTCGAATCCCAACCACAGTACCACCTGCCTGGAGTTTGCATGTTCTCCCTGTGCCTGCGTGGGTTTCCTCCGGGAACTCCGGTTTCCTCCAACACTCCAAAGACATGCTGGTAGGTTAATTGGATCCTGTCTAAATTTTCCCTAGTATGTGTATGAATGTGAGTTTAGGGACCTTAGATTGTACACCCCTTGAGGGTTAGGAACTGATGTGAATGTACAATATATGTATGTAAAGAGCAGCGTAAATTGACAGCGCTATACAAGTACCTGAAATAAATAACAATAAAGTGCTAAATTTATAAAGCTTGTCTGAGAGTTCAGAAAAAAAGGTGTGGAGAGCTGAAGTTACACTCTGCAGAGCTCAGTGAGGAGAGCTCCGTGAAGTGATTGGAGGGAAGAGACACACCCCCATTCACGCAGCACACAGGAACAGAGCAGAGGCTGTCAATGTGCTGGAGGTCCCTCCCCTGTCACCATTTTTCTCTTGGTGTCAGGAAAACATGTTAGAAGTGACTGATAGAGGAAGGCAGCAGCAGATAGAAATGACACTTAGTGCTATGAATTGAGACAAGTACACACTATACAGGGATACGCTTTGTTCATATTTCATGTCTGAGGTTTACAACCACTCTAAAGGGCTAAACTGCACTGACATCAGATACTTCCTTCTTAACAGCTGTCAATCTTTTAAAAGCACAATCCAGCTTGGGAAGAAATGCCAAAATACTAGACCCCTGTCTTTTTAAAGGTTAGCTCAGCTTTACCAAAAAGCTGCTTTAGCAGATAAGGGACATCAGTTGAGTAAAATAAGCTGTGCAGCTCTGACTAGAATTGAAAATTGTCCTTGCTGTAAGTGTAAGCCATTCATGTACCTCCTGAAGCCTGGCTGGAATACTCCCAGCATGTCGCTAAGCGAGACCTAGTCTCACCCTCACAGGAGTCAGCTCTTTCTCTGATACAAACCCCCTCAACATGCTCTCTCCCCTGATGCAGTAGCTCTGGGCTCAGAGATTGAGAATTAGTTCATGTGATGGAGGAGGTGGGCAGTAATAGCTGGACCTCATTTAACAACGTCCTGAAAGTGTTCAGGTCAGCCTTCATGAAGTACCCGAATAGCCTACACCTATAGCAAGGGCATTATTGGAATAAAAAAAAAAAAATCAGCTCTGACTGCAACACCCTACTAAATGCTGGTATTGCCCCCTCCCCAAAGATGTTCCTTGTTGCCTAGCTTCCTTTAACCTACTTTTAGGTGTCTTGGGTCCTACTTTTAGGAGTGTGTCTTGGGTCCTACTTTTAGGAGTGTGTCTTGGGTCCCCATCCCCACCCTTCAGAAGAATGCTGCATCTCATTACCTGGAGACACTCTCTTTTGCACTAAGGGCAATTTCACACCGCAGTGGATTGCACACCCACTGTATTCTGAACGTGATGCGGTAAATGTGCATGGAACACAGGTTTCCGGCACTATGTTCTGGTGTGAACGGGCCCTTCATGTCCATCCTGGAAATAAATATTATAAACAGGATCTATTACATCACTGATATTAAACACCTGGAAAAGTTTTTTTTTTCTCCCCTTCTACTGAAACACTGTTCTGGTAACAACCCAGAGGGAGTTCCTCTGACTTCCTGCTGGGACTCTGGGACAGGAAGCAAAGAGAAATTTCCACAATACAAAGACAGCAAGAGCCTAAAATAGGTCCTAAAGCATAACCAAAGGCAAAACTTTTTTTTTTTTTTTTGGATAGAGTGGAGAGGGACTAGAACACCAGTTAGGTTTTTACTGCTGTCTGTGCTGTGCACTAGTCTGTTAGGGAGGTTCACCCTCCCTGCTGTCTGTGCCTAGTCAGTTAGGGAGGTTCACCCTCCCTGCTGTCTGTGCCTAGTCAGTTAGGGAGGTTCACCCTCCCTGCTGTCTGTGCCTAGTCAGTTAGGGGGAGGTTCACCCTCCCTGCTGTCTGTGCCTAGTCAGTTAGGGAGGTTCACCCTCCCTATTTGTCCTGTTTGAAATTATTCTTGAAATTAAAAGTAAAAAAAAAATCCCACATTTTGGGTTGTCACCAGAATAGTAACGGAGGGGAAATCTTCCAATAGGGACATTAGCTCCAGTGACCATAATGACAAGCAGGTATTCCCTTCACTTTGGAGGGTTTTCTTCTCACTTCCTGCTTTGGCTATGGGACGGGAAGTGAAGAGAAATTTCCCCAATGGGACACAGTTGGTAAACTGTTAAATCCACAGATGAAATGCACATAAAAAAGAGCTGCTTTACCTGGCAAACAATATGTATTTCTATCCATCCAGTTCTTAGACTAACACAGTCCGGCAACACGGCACAACCAGGTGGATACCTTTTCTGTTGCAATTGCAGACTGTAGAAGGGATACAGTGGTGTCCTTTCCACCCCTAGCCTTCTGAAAGGACAATGAAGGAGCAGCAGCAGACTGATGAATTTATCTCTCTGTTCATTCTGTTCTTTCCTATCAGCAAGTACCTTGTCAGAATATTTGCATACAACACACCTGACTGGCTCAGTCGGGCCTCTTTATACCCCAAAAGGGGCTGTACAGACTGATGAGTCTAATTAAGGCATTTACACTAGTTGCATTAACCTCCCTAGCGGTCTGATTTTGTCCATATTTCTGTGCCCAAAGCGGTACATTTTTTTGCATGGAAATATGTATTTTTTTTATTGTAGGTCTGAAATTTTTAGGAATACCTCACTGAAATCTGTCCGAACAAGAGTCTAGTAAACATCCCGGGTATGTTACAATTTGAAACACAAAATCATAAATTATAATTTAATAATCAAAAAATAATAATATAATAATACATTTAATTCAATAATATTATCAAACCAAAAACACTGACATTTGAAATATAGCGCAAGTTCGCACATCGCTGAGCAAAGTCGCAAAATCGTTTTCAGTGTCTGATGATGAATTTCCCCCACAAATCATTATCACTCAATTCTGCAAGTGGTTCTAATTTACTATCGCTGTTCTCTAGCCGGTCTAAAACCGCTTTTGACCTAAAGGGACGCTTTTTGGACGCCATGGACGTTTCTAAGTTTCCAGGCAGAAAGAACAGTAAAAATGCAGGCAGGGCGCCGGACAAAGCACTCGGGACAAAATGTATGTGAAATGGTTTGATACAGGAATGTTATACTATGTGATTTTAGTGTATTTAGTGAATGTCACTTTTTGTCATTTTCAAATTTCCCACCAGTTCCGTCCCCCGTACGTCCTGACATCACAGGGGACGGAGCCCAGATGACAGATGCCGGCATCCGCTGGACGACATTGCCGGGGACACTGCAGGAGGGACATCGCGGGAGCACAGTACAAGGTAAGTGATCGAGGGATCCCAGAGCAGCGCTGCAGGGTATTCCCGAGTGTAGCTCGGGGTTACCGCTTGTGGTACTGAAACTTTACCCCGAGCTACACTCGGGAATACCGCCAGGGAGGTTAAAAAAAAAAAACACATTTAATGATTAAAGAATACACAGCTGAATTAATAAGCATCTTTTATATTTGACTGAGTTCAGCTTTAATTAAATTAAAACTATAAAATTATGCACACAGACAGGTGAAAGTGGTAGTAAACTCCTTTTTTGAACTTGTACCTACAGATGAGCCTATAATGAGACTTACCTATAGATACAGTGAATATCACCTAAACTTGTGGTGCTTAGAAGATATTCACACTGGATGCAGCAGGTGACATCACCAGCACATGCACTCGGAGAGGACTGCATACCACACAGTCCCTTCAGAGCTCTGTGCCATAAAACCGTGACACCGGTGCACATGCACAGGAGTGACGTCACTTCAGCTCAGCCATTCAAAAGGACCTGAGCCAGCAAACCCAGAAAGAAGACTGGATGAAGACGGAAGCGCAACACTGTAGGGCTTTGTTCTAAGGTATTTCATAGTGTGCTAATAGGCGATGCATACAAGCACATTTCATTGTTTGGATTTTTTTTTAAAACAAATCTTAAAGTCCAAGTAAAATTTTTACAACTTTGAAATGTGTTAGTAAAACCATACATATCACAACTACTTTGTACATCCAGGTGAATTATACCTTGTTTTTTTTTTTCAGGACAAATTGGGCTTTCATTTAATGGTAAATGATAATGGTAGTAGAAAATTAAGAAAAAATACCTAGATCAAGGTTTGATCTAGTTCAGTCCGAGGGTTAGTGTTTGAGTCAAGGTCAAAAGGTCAGGATTATTTTTTTTTTTGTTTTTTTTAATCTCTCTGCAAGGAGAGAGAGATACAATGCATCTTTCTCCTTCATTCAGAGGGAACAAAAAAAAAAAAAAACAAGGGGGTCGGCTTCACAGTGACTGATCACTGTGATAGCCAATCAGAGGCTGTCGCATCGACCATGTGACCCGGAAACCGGGAGTCCCGGGTCCCGATCATTAGAACGGGCCCCGGGGCTCTCAGTGACACCCCGGTCTTTGTGCTGGGAGTGCACGGTGCAGCACGCTCCTAGCACAAAGACAGGTACACAAATATGCGGCGACAGAGAAAAAAAAAAAGCGCAGTTCTGTGAGGCCACATATTTGTGCGACGGCGGCGTAAAGGGGTTAAAAATTACTCATAGGTCCACTTTAAATTAAACTCTGGAGCTACTTTATGCACTAAAACATGGACCACTTTCTAATGCTTACCAGCAAAAATTGAGTAAACTCGGCGTATGGTAGCAGCCTCTTCCGGCCTTTTCCAAAGTGCAGCTGAATGAACTCGCAGTCCCAGTTGAACGGGATACGCTGATGAATCGTAGTCTGTCCAAACACTTGCTTCACATCATCTGCAAACAATGTAAAAAGAATTAACATGAACTTACTTGGTTCCTATGAAACATATTTCACTGTATAAAACTGGCAGCACGGTGTTGCATCGTATTAATGGCATCACACCATTTTTTCTGCTTTTGTAATGGCTTAGGCCCCTTTCACATGTGCGGACCGATCAGGTCTCCTCTAAGGAGCGCACAGATTTCCCTTCTGAACAGGTAGACTCCTAGCAGATTCCGCCCATGTGGAAGGGGCCTTACTTTTTCGATTTGAGAAGGCATGCGCAGGGGCGGACTGACTATTTGAGCACTCAGGCACTGCCCGAGGGCCCGGGGTCAGCAGGGGGCCCCATGAAATGCCCCTGGTACCTTTTTATAGGCGTTTTTGGGTGTGGGCAAGGACACAAGGGCCCCATGATCCCCTATTGCCCGGGGGCCCCATGAGTTGTCAGTCCGCCCCTGGGCATGAGATACTTTAACAATCTGCCATACAGCAAAGCAGTGCAAAACAGGAGCTACTGTATCCCACGATATATGGAAGTCAGCAGGAGGAACCAGTGAATAATAGAAGAGACTTAGAAGACTAACACTCCCAGAAGTGTGTTTTACCTGCAGATTTCATCGGAATATTACTCAGGATCAGAGCACCTTTCAGCAGCGCAGGCATAAGGAAAGATTAATATGTGCTAGACACTGGCAGCACAGTACCACATGTTCCGTATAAGATCGGAAACCTTTAGTTTTTTAATTCAGGTCCACTTTAAAATTTTGGAGTCTGGTCTGGTGTGTTTTAAAGGGATGATGGCTGATCCCCCCCCAAATACTTCATATTTATTTATTTATTTCAGGTACTTATATAGCGCCGTCAATTTACACAGCACTTTACATATACAGTCATGGCCCGAAATTGTTGGCACCCTTGATATTTTTCCTGAAAATCAAGTATTTCACACAAAAAAGGTATTGCTTTAACACATGTTTTGCTATACACATGTTTATTCCCTTTGTATGTATTGGAACAAATATAAAACAGAGGCAGAAAAGCAAATATGACATAATGTCACACAAAACCCCAAAAATGGGCTGGACAAAAGTATTGGCACCCTTAACTTAATATTTGGGTTGCACACCCTTTGGAAAACATAACTGAAATCAGTCGCTTCCTATAACCATCAATAAGCTTCTGACACCTCTCACCCGGAATTTTGGACCACTCTTCCTTTGCAAACAGCTCCAGGTCTCTCTTATTGGAAGGACACCTTTTTCCCAACAGCAATTTTAAGATCTCTCCACAGGGTGTTCAATGGGATTTAGATCTGGGCTCATTGCTGGCCACTTCAGAACTCTCCAGCGCTTCTTTGCCATCCATTTCTGAGTGCTTTTTGACGTATGTTTGGGGTCATTGTCCTGCTGGAAGACCCAGGATCTTGGACGCAAACCCTCAGCTTTCTGACACTGGGCCCCTACAGTGCGACCCAAAATCCTTTGGTAATCCTCAGATTTCATGATGCCTTGCACACAGTCAAGGCACCCAGTGCCAGAGGCAGCAAAACAACCCCAAAACATCATTGAACCTCCACCATATTTTACCGTAGGTACTGTGTTTTGGTTCTTTGTAGGCCTCATTCCGTTTTCGGTAAACAGTAGAATGATGTGCTTTACCGAAAAGCTCTATCTTGGTCTCATCTGTCCACAAGACGTTTTCCCAGAAGGCTTTTGGCTTACTCAAGTACATTTTGGCAAACTGTAGTCTTGCTTTTTTATGTCTCTGTGTCAGCAGTGGGGTCCTCCTGGGTCTCCTGCCAAGCGTTTCATTTCATTTAATGTCGACGGATAGTTCGCGCTGACACTGATGCCTCCCTGAGCCTGCAGGACAGCTTGAATGTCTTTGGAACATGTTTGGGGCTGCTTATCCACCATCCGGACTATTCTGCGTTGCAATCTTTCATCAATTTTCCCTCATCCGTCCACGACCAGGGAGATTAGCTACAGTGCCATGGGTTGCAATACTTCTTGATAATGTTGCGCACTGTGGACAAAGGCAAATCTAGTTCTCTGGAGATGGACTTGTATCCTTGAGATTGTTGATATTTTGCCCCACAATTTTGGTTCTCAGGTCCTCAGACAGTTCTCGTCTCCTCTTTCTGTTGTCCATGCTTAGTGTGGCACAGACAGACACACAATGCAAAGGTTAAGTGCAAAACGTCTCTCCTTTTTATCTGCTTTCAGGTGTGATTTCTATATTGCCCACACCTGTTACTTGCCCCAGGTGAGTTTACAGGAGCATCAAATGCTTGTAACATTCTTATTTATCCGCAGTTGTGTAAAGGGTGCCAATACTTTTGTCCAGCCCCCATTTTTGGTGGTTTTGTGTGACATTATGTCGAATTTGCTTTCTTTCCTCCCTTTTTTTGTTTTGTCCCAATACACACAAAGGGAATAAAACATGTGTTATAGCAAAACAGTGTGTTTAATGCAATACGTTTCGTGAGAAATACATGATTTCCTGGAGAAATATCAAGGGTGCCAACAATTGCGGCCATGACTGTATATATTGTACATTCACATCAGTCCCTAACCCTCAAGGAGCGTACAATTTAAAGTACTTCATATGTGAACAGACTTCTACAACAGTATTCCTGGATGACAACTCATGGGGCTCCCGGGCAGTAGGGGATTATGGGGCCCCTGTGTCCTTGCCCAAACTCAAAAAAGCCTATGAAAAAGGTACCAGTGGCATCTCATGGGGCCCCTACTGACCCTGGGCCCTCGGGGCAGTGCTTGTCTTTCCAAATGGTCAGTCCGCCCCTGTTTCCTAACTCCACCTCTGCTTCAACAATAATAAGGGAAGACTTAGTCTAGGTTAACACCTATGCGTTTTCCATTGAGTTTTGCAGAAGAACTGTGCAGCAGTCCATTTAACATTGATTTCCTACGGGACGGGGTTCACATCTCCGCGTTTTCATCCAGAGCGTTTTTTGGAAAGGGTCAGGGACTTTTTTAAATGCAAAACGTTACAATTTTGGTTCTACAGACTTCAATGGAGACGCTGCAAAAAAGCATAGGTAGTGCGTCTTATGCGTTTTGCATTTTGAGTATTAATCTGCCCAGCAACAAGTTGGAAAAAACAAAAGCGTCAAAAATGCATGTGCAAAAACGCACCACAAAAAGCATTGAAGAAATGGATCAAATGCAAACTGCATAGGTGTGAACCTAGCCTAAAGCTGGCAATACACTGTTAGTGTTTGTTTATTCAGCCAGGGGGCTCAATGTATAAAAAAGACAAAAAAAATCCCTCCATCCAAACAAATAAGGTGGATGGAGGAATTTCCTCTTTGGGACAGCAGTACCCGCAACTATCAGAATACACTGATCAGTGGTTACAGCATTTTCCAGCACGTCACTTTGCAGAAGTCAAATAGTCAACTTCTATCGAGTGGGTACTGCCACACACCGTTTGCAATCCAGATTGCAGCCGGCTGAATTTCAGTGTATGGTCAGATTTCTGCCCCGTACACATGATAATAAAAATCGTACAAAACTTTTTGCGGACCCACTGATCGAACGATTTTCTCTTCGTTGATGAGCAGGATGTTTTAACTAATAAACAATATTGCGTACGAAAAAATCCGGATGAACAACATTGAAAAATTTTGTCATTTTGCATACGAACGACCGATTTTCTATGTGGTGGTATGATGGTCGTACGAAAAAAATTTATCAAGCACTATCGCACATGAGCGAAAACAGAAGATGACCCGAATGTTTATGTCCAAGGAATCTTCGTAAACACGAACTAAAAATCCAAATGTTAAAAGTAGATTGGCCTAAATGAGATGATGAAACCAGAATTCTGCAGATTATATTTTTATGTATCACTATTTATGTATATAGGTCATGGAATAAACTATATTATACTCATTGCTGGTCATTGTTTTGTATATATTAAAATTATATAATTTTTTTTTGGGTTTAAGATATAGATCATAGCATAACTACGTTTTTATAATTAAAAAATTGTACAATTTACTGTTGAACGCCCCTTCTGGCCCGAAGGGCTGGAACGCCCCTTCTGGCCCGAAGGGCGTGGAACGCCCTTCTGGCCCGAAGGGCGTGGAACGCCCCTTCTGGCCCGAAGGGCGTGGAACGCCCCTTCTGGCCCGAAGGGCGTGGAACGCCCCTTCTGGCCCGAAGGGCGTGGAACGCCCCTTCTGGCCCGAAGGGCGTGGAACGCCCCTTCTGGCCCGAAGGGCGTGGAACGCCCCTTCTGGCCCGAAGGGCGTGGAACGCCCCTTCTGGCCCGAAGGGCGTGGAACGCCCCTTCTGGCCCGAAGGGCGTGGAACGCCCCTTCTGGCCCGAAGGGCGTGGAACGCCCCTTCTGGCCCGAAGGGCGTGGAACGCCCTTCTGGCCCGAAGGGCGTGGAACGCCCCTTCTGGCCCGAAGGGCGTGGAACGCCCCTTCTGGCCCGAAGGGCGTGGAACGCCCCTTCTGGCCCGAAGGGCGTGGAACGCCCCTTCTGGCCCGAAGGGCGTGGAACGCCCCTTCTGGCCCGAAGGGCGTGGAACGCCCCTTCTGGCCCGAAGGGCGTGGAACGCTCCTTCTGGCCCGAAGGGCGTGGAACGCCCCTTCTGGCCCGAAGGGCGTGGAACGCTCCTTCTGGCCCGAAGGGCGTGGAACGCTCCTTCTGGCCCGAAGGGCGTGGAACATTTTTTTTTCGACTGGTTAATGTGGGCCACGATTTCGACCTTTACTCTGCCTAGCACATATTTATTTATTTCAGGTACTTCTATAACACCGTCAGTTTACGCAGCGCTTTACATATATATTATACATTCATATCAGTCCCTAACCCTCAAGGGGTCCCTAACTCACATTTATACATACACATACTAGGGCCAATTTAGACAGGAGCTAATCAACCTACCAGCATGTCTTTGGAGTGTGGGAGGAAACGGAGTACCCGGAGGAAACCAACGCAGGCACTGGGAGAACATGCAAACTCCAGGCAGGAGGTGCCATGGCTGGGATTCGAACCAAGTACCCCTAGTACTGCCAGGCGGAAGTGCTAACCATTTAGCCACTGTGCTGCCCATATTTCATGTGTTCTGCATTTCAGAAAATGTGAATTTGAGAATTTTTTCGGCCACCACTGTCAACCCCTACTGAAACTGCTGTCATATTAAACTTCATTCTTCAACACTAGGTAACTAAACTGAAACAATGTGAAAGGTTCAAAGACAGCAGAGCCACCCTGGCACCACATGCAGGATGCGAAGAATGCACGCAGGGACAGGGTGAGCTCTGGCTCTCCGCTAGAACCCATCCATACCTACTCTGCCCTGTACCCTCATCTTTAATGCACAGAAAAGCTTATTTATAATCTACGCATGTTATACAAATATGTACACAGTGTTGGCAACTTACTTTACATTTTAAAGTGACTCCATTAAGATTTAAATCGTACTTAAAAGTTGAACGGTAAAAAGTGAGGACAATTAGTGTCTATTTAAATGAGCACTGTACTTAAAGCACAATTGCTGAGGTTTTATTGAATTTTGTGTGGGAAGATCATTTTTGTGTATAGCTAAGGAAATTGCCCTACCGCTCTATTCAAATGACACATCCCTCCTTGCCTTGACACCGACTGGATTGAATTATATATGTATAGAAGTTGTTTTCAAAGCTTTCCCACACAAAGTTCTCAAAGCGCAGCAACCCCAATAAAGGACGACTGCTGATGTCTAAACAAGTCCGAGTTACAGCTTCATGCATTTTAGAAATTAAAGTTTTCATTTTTTTTTTTTCTTTAATTGTTATACAGGCTAGGCATTTGGTGCCATAGATCTTTTAAAGCGACTAATGAAATTGCAAAAACAAGGGTTGGTGGGAAAGACTACTACAGATACTTACCCTTTCACTGCCCACACTGCTGTAATAACAAACTATTACTTGAAGGCTCTTCAGAGTCGGACACTTCAATGAGTATTGAAATTTGTGGTCACCCACTGCGATCTATGATTTTGCAGAGCACCCCCTATGTCACTATAGGACACAATGGTGACATAGGATCTGGCAGACTGAACCACTGAGCAGTGGAAGACTAGAAATTAGACACTCAGAGGTGTTGGACTCTCAAGTGTCTTTGACTGGAGGCTTCTCTTCATTACAACAATGGGGTAGATCCTAGATTTTAAGCTCGAAAAAGCAGGGCCCTCGAGCCCCTCATGTTTTGCATTGTATTGGTATTGTTCTGTCACATGTTCTGTCCCCCTTTGTAATGTACAGCGCTGAGCGAACCATTGGCGCTTTAAAAATACTGTATAATAATAATAATTTACTAAAACTGGAGAGTGCAAAATCTGGTGTAGCTGTGCATGGGAGCCAATCAGCTTCTAACTTGAGCTTGTTCAATTAGGCTTTGACAAAAAAACCTGGAAGCTGATTGGTTTCTGAGCAGAGCTGCACCAGATTTCGCACTCTCCAATTTTAGTTAATCAACCCCAATGTCTGTTCGCAAGAGCAGTGGGGGGAAATGAGCATTTCGATTTTCCTCCCAGGGAACCTTGTTTTGCCAGTTTTAATTTAGCATTAAAGCTCAGCTGAAGTCTGGTTTACAATCACCCCCATCATCTCAAGGTGCAGGAAAATGACAGGTTTTTACTTTTTTCTGTCATATTTGTTTAAAGTGGTAGTAACCCGTAACATATGCCCAGTGAAGTGCCTGGCTTTAGGTGATACACAGACATGAAAAACAAATCCTACATAAGCTGTACCTGTTAATCTGCAGTCTTCTCTACATATGTTCAAGTGCTGAATTTATAATGTTTGTCTGAGAATTGAGAAAAAAGGGGTGAGAGCTGAAATTAGACACTGCAGCGCTCAGTGAGGAGAGCTCTGAGAGCTTATTGAAGGGAAGAGGCGCCCCCCCCCCCCCCCCCTCCACACACAGGAACAGAGCTGAGTCTGTCAATCTGATGGAGCTCCCTCCCCGGTCACCATTGCTCTCTTGGTGTCAGGAAAACGTGTCAGAAGTGATTCATGCCAATAGCAGAGGAGCAAAGCAGCAGAGAGAAATTACACTTAGTGCTCTGGATTGGGACAAGCACACAATATAGAGGGATATGCTTTGTTCATACTTCATACCTAAGGGCACCACACAGCCACTAATGCAGACTGCCCCCCGTCAGTAGCCTGCAGTAAAGAACGATTGCTTTTCCAGATATCCAGCTGTTCCTGTGAGGCCAGACTGGCAAAGACACTTATAGATAGCTGGCAAGACTAATTTATCGGTGAGTGAGTTTAGTAAATTGTCTCCCATGCATACCTGTATGGAGATTGCATTTTGAAATATGAATCCCATTTCCTCAGCTCTTTTTATAAAGCATCTGATTAGAACACTTGACGTTGTATCAGCAAAACCGAAATTAAGGCTTAAGATGCTTTAGTGAACTAGGTTTATAAATTACATTAGTTTGGAAAAGACCTTTTGGACTAACAAAATTACTTAAGTCTGGCTTGTAATGGACAGCATTCACACCTCTCAACATGAGCATCTTTCCATGCAGCACTGAAGACTGTCCGCAGCTCTTGTCAAGTGACCGCATGCAATGCAACTGGAATTAGGGTATGTACGCTTGAATATTCTTAAACTTGGGTGCAAAAAGTAGGAGTAAACATGGAGTTGGACCTAACGGCATCCCAGTTCCGATTCAAATACATAAATTCTTGCTGACTCTTTAGCAGTTATCGAGTCATTGACAGGGAACAAGGTGAAGTTTTGACTTGACTTGCTGCACGCATTTTCCAGTTCAATAAATCAAAAACATATGAAGGGCAGTGATAACCAGGCAACTTGCAGGAAAATCAATGTAAGCCTACAGACTGCACTCTGTAAATGTCTACTAAGTTGCCGTCATAAAATAATGAGTAGGGCCCTCTGATTTCTCCTGTATCGAATTGTATTCTAACTGTGCTGTCTGGCCTCATGTTGTAAAGTGCTGCGCAGACTGTTGGAGCGATATAAATCTCAAATGATAATATAAATAATAGAATAAAAAAGGAACAAAAAAGAAGATTTAGGCTATAATCTGCCCCAATCTGAAACCTAAATCCTGTGGAATGGAAGAAGACATGTACAGAAGTCCTAACACTGGCTTATTCCAGGGCAAGCAATAGGATTCAAGCAAAGTGTCCTAACCTGCCCAATCACTTTGACCGCTAAGAATGTTCATTTGGAGCTCTCACCCAGAAACTGGACTGTCACCCGATCTAGTGTTAGACTGTCATCTAATGTTCACGGATATCTACAGGTCACATTGTGGTCTCACATCCAAGCTCAACTACAACCACAGATAATAAAAAAAGGAAAAAAAAAGAACAAATAAAATACAGATCAAAGTCAAGAATTTATACAGAAAGTTGTTGTTCATGTTTAACAGGACAAAATATACCTGGAGATGTAAACAAGCTTATGTGGTTACTGATGAAAAAAGGTGTAATTTTCCTGCTTAGCTTAAACCGACGGTTGCCATGGAAATCGGTACAATAAAGACACTTTTCCATAACAAATATTCATATTCAACAATGCTGCTCTTGTCAAGCAGTTGATATTTTCATACAGGTCATAACAATGAAAAAGAAAAATCTGACAAAAGGTTTTCTATAATGTACAATGGCAAGGTTGAAAATAACTCTTCAAACCCGAGGTAAAAAGTGTGGGTAACTTTTAAAGTGGTTTTGCATATAAAAAGTTACTTAAACCTTATAAAAGAGCCATTAAGGTTAGTTGTCTTTGTCAGCCAAATATGCAAGTTATAAGTACTGTAGTGGGGAACAGGCGTAAACAACCTAATAGCCAGTGACCAGAAAAGTCCACTGGCAAGGTTGAATAGGATTCATAAGTTCAATTCCTTACCAAACGTTATTTCTCCTTTCCCAGTTTTGTCGAAGAGCTGGAAGGCCACCATGAAGAGCGCATCTGGTGCGCACAGGACTGACTCGAAGGCTACAAACTCCTGGAAGGATATTAATCTGGAAAAAAAAAACAGTGTAAACGTTTCTTCAATGTTTTCACTCACTTTTATGACATGAACTTGTAAAGGAACACACATATTTTCTAAAACTTCCTAAATGTGGACAAAACTCGAATTTTAAATTGTAATTTTATTGCACTTGTCCATATTTACACTCAACAGCCTCTTTATTAGGTACACTTGTTCAATTGCTTGGTAACACAAATTGCTATTTAGCCAATCACATGGCAACTCAATGCATTTAGGCATTTATACGTGGTGAAGATGACTTGCTGAAGTTCAAACCGAGCATCAGAATAGGGAAGAAAGGAGATTTAAGTGACTTGAACATGGCATGGTTGTTGGTAAGAGATGGGCTGGTCTGAGTATTTTAAAAACTGCTCATCTACTTCAATTCAAACCATCTCTAGGGTTTAGAGAATGGTCCGAAAAAGAGAAAATATCCAGTGAGTGGCAGTTGTGTGGACGAAAATGCCTTGTTGAGGTTAGAGGAGAATAGTCAGACTGTTCTGAGATAATAGAAAGGCAGTAACTCAAATAACCACTCGTTACAACCAAAGGTATGCAGAATACCTGAACGCAGAACACATCAAACCTTGAAGCAGATGGGCTAAAGCAGCAGAAGAGCACACCGGGTGCCACAGGTAAGAACAGGAAACTGAGCCTTCAATTCACACAAGCTCACCAAAATTGGGCAATAGAAGTCAGGAAAAATGTTGCCTGGTCTGATGAGTCTCAATTTCGGCTGTGACATTCAGATGGTAGGGTCAGAATTTGGCATAAACAACATGAAAGCACGGATCCATCCTGCCTTGTATCAATGGTTCAGGCTGGTAGTGGTGGCGTAATAGTGTGGGAGATATTTTCTTGGCACTAGCAAGGTGTACTTAATAAAGTGGCCAGTGATTGTATATAGAACTCTGTACACATCAATGCTGACCTGCAATGGCAAAAAGGCCTCTATTCACACGCTGACCTGTAGAATACCAATGTCAAGGGTGAATTAAAAAAAATGAACTCAAGCCAGTCTTTAAGGGCTGGTTCACACTACAATTTCTGCACTCTGGAAGTATGTATGCATTCATGTTATTGGTGCATTCTGGTGCATTTGTCCATGTGTTCCATACAGAAAAAATACAGCATGCTTTACTTTTGCTGACCGCACTGGTCTGAACTAGGGTGATTGGGATACATGGGAAAACACTGTGCGCGTGTTTTTGATGCAAATTAAAAATGCACTGGACGGCATCTGGTGTAAACCAGCCCTTTAAATTTTGAAGCCGAGGGATAGATTGCATTCACTTGGGCACCTGTGCACCTGTAGATTTGCAATGTACACCGAGCCAAATAGGGGACTGAACTCCAGCCAAAATAAAATCACAGAAAACCAGAACGCCAAATGGAAGATCGGTCAAAGAGGGAACTTGTAGGCATCAATGGGGGGAAGGAGAGTATAGCTCATAGGTCAAAAAGTATATAGACCTTATGTATAAACCGTTCAATATTCACTTGCAGTGCAGTTCCTGTCAGGACTGCAGAAGGAAAGCTCCAAAACAGACCTGCTGGAGCTCACACAGTTCTATTTCCTCCCCCTCCAGGACCCATTTAACAGCACAATGGATCACCTCACGTCTGGCCAAGAGAGGGGGAGTGAGTCCCATTGCTTACACACCTAAACATGCTGGATATTTCACATCATTCATAGCAGCTGAAATGAGCAAAGGGGCAGCGAGTACAGGGGAGAAGGGAAATTAAAGGATCAGTTCACCTTGAAAAAAAATACAAAAATTAAATGTATATCTTTTTGTAGGTAAACAAAATGCATTTATTATTATTTTTTATTTTTATTAGGAGCCTGTAAAGCTTTGCAACAGCGATCAACAGATCATGGTCGCAATCTCCGGCTCCTGCAGACTGTCAGTGTAGCTGTCTGTCTGTACCTTGTAGTTACTACAAGGTCAATGAACTACCAGATCATTTGAGCACACTGGTAGTTCATTGAGAACTACAAGCAGTCAGCTGCAATGGCTGACAATAGTTGTAGTTCCCCCATTCACAGAACTCTGAGTGATGCAGCTCAGTGGGCGAAGCCCCGCACAGCAACTTTTTTTTTTTTTTTGTGACAGGGGGTGTGGGGAGAGAATCCCCCTTCTGCTGTCACAATGGGGGCTTGGGCTGCTCAGTTAGTAACATATTACAACCTAAAAATGAATGTATAAAAAAGGTGAATGTTACTAAAGGTGAACTTATCCTTTAAAATGTAATTATGGGCAAAATACAAATCAACTTATGCTACAATCTGTCAATACCAATAACACGGCATTTTTTCCGAGTCCCTCCCTGTAACAATTGAATTACCTGTTGATGCCGACAGTGCAGTGGATGTGTTTCCACTTCCTCTACTAGGGTGACAACTCTTTGTTGTAAATTGACATTGTACAGCCGAGCTGCCACCCTGTGGACAGGGTATTCCTATATATTTGTTCTGAATGACATTTAAAGTGTTACTAAACCCAGGACCCTGCATTCACTATATCTGGTCTCCCCGGACCCTGCATTCACTATATCTGGTCTCCCCGGACCCTGCATTCATTCTATATCTGGTCTCCCCGGACCCTGCATTCACTATATCTGGTCTCCCCGGACCCTGCATTCACTATATCCGGTCTCCCCGGACCCTGCATTCACTATATACCCTGCGGTCTCCCCGGACCCTGCATTCACTATACTATATCCGCTCTGGTCTCTCCCGGACCCTGCATTCACTATATCTGGTCTCTCCGGACCCTGCATTCACTATATCCGGTCTCCCCGGACCCTGCATTCACTATATCTGGTCTCCCACAGTACACAGAACATGGAAATGCAATTATTGTAGTAAATATAAACTACTAAATAGCTTTTCTCATCAGCAGTATATAGCAGTCTTGTGACTTCTATCAGTGTCCAGCAAAGCACTGGTTAAAGCTTGTAGGAGTTTTCATTCTGCTCTAGTCGGGTGCAGAACCCCTGAGCTCTGTCTGGCCAAAGTTGATTGGCCCTGTGCTGATCACATGCACCTTCCCAAAGAAAAATAAAAAAACTCTAGCAATACACACCAAACTGAACATGTGCAGCTTGCCATCAAGGCTCTGTTCTATCAGCAGATGGATTGGGGACAGTAGAAGGGGAGGAGCAAACATCCCCTTTACACAATGCAAAGGATTAACCCCTTAGGTTCCACAGTATAGAGTATAACAAGCATGCTTTACGGCATATACAGACTGATTTTACTGTTGTGGGTTTAGTAACACTTTAAAGTTCAATTCCAGCTAACATTTTTAAAACAGTTTCAGCAGTGGTGATCAACTTTCCTAACCCCTTCCTGCCCACCCCATCGTCCCTTTAAAAAGTTTTGAATGCCAATGGGTGGGAAAGATTAACCAATCACGTGACCACTGTGATTGACTGTCACAGTGGCCACACTGGTCCCGACGGCTACCAATCATTATTGGGAACCAAGATCTTTTACTCGGTCTCAGCTCTAGAAGCATGCAGTGAGCATGCTCTCAGCACAGAAACAATGGTTACCGAGCGAAGCATGTGTGTTATTGCGCATACTGTTAGAAGGGATTAATATGGGGTTCCTCAAGTGCGGCACCTGACATCACCAAAGGGCCACACATAATATTCAGTGAATAATTGGTGTCAGAGACAACACACAACATCATACAGTATGGTCAAAGGCATTGGGCATAACGCAAGAGATGGTCAGAGACTGCAGGCATACTACAGCATATGGTCCAAAACTTCAGACTTGCTACAAGGGATAGTCAGAGACTGAAAACATGCTATAGGAGTTGTTGGAGTAGTAGCTGCAGGGGCCCCCTCAAAAGAAAATGCCAAAGGGCCACATATGTCGGGCACCAGGGAGTTTCACCAACAGTCTTCTCTTCCAAACCATATGAATAAAGGCTGACTACTGTAAGCACCCCTGCAGTGTTATATGGTTTCTTCACAACCCTGCAACTGCCACTTGGCCTGTGCCTGGAAGTGAAAAATCCACTGGAAACAAACAGGTAATATAATTATGTTATAAAGAGCACTCAGAAAAAAACTGCTGTGTTAATAATGACAGATTACATCATACGTTTGTTTTTTTTATTGTTTTTTCATGGTTCTATTTTAAGAGATCCCTCTCACTTTGCATGAGGAAATGAAAGGGTGACTACACATTTCAATCACTAAAATCACCATACATCATATATAACTACCACCCCTACGATTTCCCATCCCAGCAAGTACAGATGAACTCTAGAGGAATAAACAGCGGCCATAACTGTATATTATACATAATAAATGACATACTACACAAATGCGTTCATCAGTTGTGGAGATTTTCATTCACTACAAGAAGCGGGTATTCACAACAAATTATGGAAGACTTTAGCCAGAGTAAATATTTACATTAGCACTGAAATCAGTTTCTACAAGTATTTAAGTAACAATACAATGAACCATAACCACGCTGGTTGTGTCAACATTAGACTTTGAGATGCTTCACTAGACCTCATAACATTTAGCATTTATGCTATGCTTTGCCAGTGCAAACACGGTTTGGCTACTTAAACATGGCTGCCATAATATTTAGACTGAAAAAAAAAGCTAAGAATGAAGTGACGGATACTTCATAAACTATACATTTCAGACAAGAAACCAAAGTCTTAAGAAGAAGAGATCATGTTTCACTAATGATACAAATGAAGAGGACAGATTCATGGTTTCTTAGGCCTCATACACACAGGATGTTTTAAGAACGCTCCCCCTCTTGGCAGCAGGGTTTTGGCCGAAAACACACCTCACGCTTGTCAAAGTGTCTCTAACACTTTTACAAGCATTTAGGTGCATGTACAGGTGTCAAGCGCTTGGAGTTTAACCGCTTTCCTGCCGCTCTATAGCAGAAATACTGCTACAGAGCGGCACAAAACCACACACACACACACACACACACACACACATATATATATGTATGTGATTTGGCATTTCTGGGTAGGGGGCGCTCATGAGTGAACGCCCTACCCGTGCCATCACTGGCGGTCTCGACTGTCAAATCACCGAGTCCCAGGTGGTGATTCCCCACCGGTACCCAGGGATCACAGTGTATCACAGATGGGGGAGAGATCTGTATGTAAACAACACAGATATCTCCAGTCAGTGAAACACATACAGCCCTCATAGTAAAGCAGTACACAGTTAACCCTTTGATCGCCCAGATGTTAACCCCTTCCTGCCCAGTGTCAGTGCTTTTTATTAGCACTGATCACTGTATTGGTGTCACTGGCGTTGTCAGTGACAATTAGTCATTCCCCTCCCAGTGCCAGAATGCCTGCCGCTGTCCCGCTATAAGTTGCTGATCACTGCGATCACTAGTGTGTGTGTGTGTGTGTATATATATATATATATATATATATATATTTTTTTTTTTTTCAATTCCAGTATACAGTTGTGTTTAAAATAATAGCAGTGTGTTGAAAAAAAGTTCAAAATCCTTCTAATAGCTTTTATTTCCATACACACAAATGCATTGGGGGCACTACACATTCTACTCCAAATCAAAACATGAAGTAAAATATATCAAATTTGTGTTGTTCCTCTAAAAAAGTGAAGAAAAGTGAATATTGGACGGTTCAAAAAAATAGCAGTGTTTGTATTCTTTACAAACGCAAACATTCACTATATAAACTGAAAAATGTTTGAAGATTTTGCTTTCCTTTGAATCACTTAATGAATATTCCGTTGTATAAGCACTGTTTCTGAGAACTGCTGTACATCTGTGTTGCATGGAGTCACCCAACTTCTGGCCCCTGTGATCAGGTATTCCAGCCCAGGATGATTGGACTACATTCCACAGTTCTTCTCTATTTCTTGGTTTTGCCTCAGAAACTGCATTTTTGGTGTCACCCCACGAGTTTTCTATTGGATTAAGATCCGGGGATTGGGCTGGCCACTCCATAACGTCAATCTTGTGGTCTGGAACCAAGATGTTGCACGTTTACTGGTGTGTTTGGGGTTGTTGTCTTGTTGGAACACCCATTTCAAGGGCATTTCCTCTTCAGCATAAGGCAGCATGACCTCTTCAAGTATTCCGATGTATTCAAACTGATCCATGATCCCTGGTATGCAATAAATAGGCCCAACACCGTAGTATGAGAAACATCCCCATATCATGATGCTTGCACCACCATGCTTCACTGTCTTCACAGTGTACTGTGGCTTGAATTCAGTGTTTGGGGGTCGTCTGACAAACTGTCTCCACCCACTAGACCCAAAAAGAACAATCTTACTTTCATCAGTCCACAAAATGTTGCGCCATTTCTCTTTAGACCAGTCAATGTGCTCTTTGGCTTTGGCAAATTGTAACCTCTTCAGCACATGTCTTTTTTCCAACAGTGGGACTTTGCGGGGGCTTCTTGCAGATAGCTTGGCTTCACATAGGAGTCTTCTAATTGTAACAGTCCTCACAGGGAACTTTTACACCTTCTTTCATCTTCCTGGTGCTGATTGTTGGCTGAGTCCGCGCCATTTTGGCTATTCTTCTACCCATTCGAATGGTAGTTTTTCGCTTTCTTCCACGTCTTCCAGGTTTTGGTTGCCATTTTAAAGCATTTGCGATCATTTTAGCTGACCAGCCTATCATTTTCTGCACTTCTTTATATGTTTTCCCCTCTCCAATCAACTTTTTAATCAAGGTACGCTGTTCTTCTGAACAATGTCTGGAACGACCCATTTACCCCAGAATTTCAGAGAGAAATGCGCTGTAACCAGCATGTACAACATTTGCTGCCTTCCTTCCTTAAATAAGAGCAATAATTGCCACCTGTTTTTCAAAGAATGAATGACCTCACTAATAGAACTCCACACTGCTATTATTTTGAACATGCCCCATAGCGCAAAAAATAAAAACCGCAGAGGCGGTCAAATACTACCAAAAGAAATCTCTATTTGTGGGGGGAAAAAAAAAAACGCACAATTGTCAGTTAAAATAACGCAGCACCATATTGCAAAAAAAGGCCTGCCCAGAAGGGGGGGGGGGGGGGGGGGTAAATCCTCTGGCAGGCAAGTGGTTAATTCATTTCATTGGTCAGAATAAGAATTTATTCTGGCAATTAAAATGAATTAATGCTCACGCTGTTAACACGCGTCAAGCATTTTTTCTGCCAAAACAATGCTGCTCCTGGACGCACTAGCCCTGGGTTTTTTTTCCTGCTTGTAGACATCCCTGCCACTAAAAACTTCTAATAGTCTTTGTGTTCATGGAGACGAGCAGAAAAAAAAAAAAAACACGCCCGATACCCCTAAAAGTGGCTGCAAAAACACCCTATGTGCATGAGGCCTTAAAGTGGAACTTTAGTCAGAAAAGTCCTGCTACATGACTTCAGGCTGGCCCCTTTTGCAGGTATAGCCATGTAAAACATTAAAAGTAAGCATATATACGGTTTAAAATCCAGTAACATACAGTCTTACCCTGCTTTGCACATGCTCAGTTGCTTTCTATTTAGAGGCACTATGCCAAAAATGTAGAGGTCGATCCACAGCCTAAAGATTTACTGCTGCTCAGGGCCTCCGGGTTTCAGCAATATGGCAGCCTCCAGCAAGAAGAAACAGGCGCAATGCTGGCAGTAATTCACAGAACACACCAATTTTGGTAGCATAATTAATGTGGAATGTATGTTTCTTGCTAAAGAACATTTTTTTCATCAAGCTGTTATGGGCAATGTTCCACTTTTAAGTATGATTAAAGACCATTTGTTTTTTAGTTTTGTACAGAGTGGAGATGAATTAGAAG